TTGTTGAACATGTGAAATGAGTTCAACATATACAAACAGGGGAAATTTAAAAAATATGACGGTACTGCTTAATAGGACAGCATCCATAGATTTTCATCGCATTCACTCCATTACAGGGTACAATTATTTTATGGGTTTTGAGATGTGACTCTTGGATTGCATCAAGGAATGTCCAGCAATCCGAAAGCTCGGTTGTGTTTGAAGGAGACAGAAAATAGCCCAAGCTTTGTTGTACCAACCTAATGATTATTTCTGATATCTAGGACCTCTACTATCAATAGATATGGGTTTCTAGATGGGCAGTGACCAAAGATGATTTAGCTTTCTTTAATAGTTTATGCAGCTCGAAATACCATCTTTTGACGTTTTTAGCGGTTGAACGCCAAAAAATCCTTGTGTATCTATTTTTTTCAGTGGCACTTGATCTCTTTGGCTCTTCAGCTTGATTCTACGTTGCTATTCGCTCAATACATATATTACTCGTCAACACGTAACATATCCCAAATTCTACCTGACTAGTTTAGAGTCGCTGTTATCATATACCATAGATCCCATATATGTTATTGATAATTATTGTCAATTGCTTTTATTACCAGATGTAAATACACTGTTTATATTTACTGCTAACTTATTGTTCACCAACGTTTTATCTTGTTCTTTTCTCTTTTAAACCGTCTTATATACGCTACTCACCACATTTTTGTGTAGCAAAACTTACCAACCTCTTAGAGGTATACTTCAGGCTTTGAGTGATGCTTCTTACACTGGACTTTACAGGTAGTGGTCTCGAAGCCGCGACAAGTCTTTAGCTAATAAGCGTAGATTGAATATAATCTCTTTGGTGCAAGATCTGTGTGTATTATTGTAGACCAATAGTATCAATACCAAAACATGATGCATATTGCTAAAAGTTGAAACTTTTGGTCTCATAATTTACAATTATATTAAAAAGTTACCACGGTTGACACAATTCAAGATAATCTTTACCCTGAATAATCACGTAATGGAAATATCTGTAAGGGTAGATAGTAAAAATATATCAGAGTTCTTTTAACGTAACAGTTGGTAATTGGGAACGAGAAGTGTGCAGTAGTGTGTTTGTGAACGAGAATCGGTATGTCATACCAGTAGGAAGCCAAACACTAACGGGAGATCAAACTTAAATTTAAAAGACAATTTTCAAAGTCAGTGATAGTAATTGCACAAATTATGTGGAACTATGAAAAGTACGAATTGTAACGAAGATTACTTATAAAATGAGTCGATGTTAAATTTCTGCATAGTATCCTTAATCAATCTGTTTAGTTGACTCTGTTCATCAGAGTTGATGACAGTTTCCTTAGTGAAACATGGGTTATCTGCCCTGATGCGACAACTAAAATGAATCCTTAAGTTCAAACCACATTATACTGACGGTCTTGTGCGGCTAATCATTAGGCGGATACAAAGTGCTGCAGCGAATAGTTTGTTGTCGAATCTCATGGTTTTCATAATCTTTGCTTTGAAAGAATTGGACGGAAATTTTTACGTGCAACAAGCAGTCAATTTCGTTATCTTAGGGTTGGGCGTGGTGAAGACAAGGCTATAATTTATGAAGGAATGAATGAAGTTCAGGTTAGTATATCTTTGGCTTTTGAGCAAAATTCATTTATCCATTTAGTTGACTAACAATCGAAATTATATCTGATGTCAAACCGTGACTAAAATTCTTAATTCAATTCCTAACATTTAAGTTCCAGGTTTAAATCCTAATTTCTCATGCTAATTTCTAATCTTCTTTTAACTCTGATAATTTGATGTATAAACATAAAGGGACAGTAGAAAAAAATTCTGCTTTTTTCGTTCACATGAGGCGCGTTATCGTGTGCATCGTCAAATTTTTACTTATCGACTCTTTTGATATGTCTCGCGCATTCCCAAAATTTTCGGATCATACCGTATGGCGAATAATTGTGGTCTATTTTAGGACTTATGCTCCTTTTCTGCGACTGTTACACCAGCTTTAATCTTGTCTTTCCAGTCAGCTAAGCATAGTAAAATTATACTTCTATTAATAAACAGGATCTGATGTATTTTCAGGCTTTGAACTGAATTATTTCTCTTTTGCATTTAACAAGCACTAAATATCATTCGTCACGTGCGTTAACGTTGATTTCTCTTAACCATCACTAAAATGATCAAATTTTAAACTAAAGTATGGTTTGTGAGTGATTGTATTTGGAGAGTTTTATAATTTTCTCTATTTTGGAATGAAGGTTTCTGTTGAATACATCAGCGAATTCAGGCGGAGCTGGCCAGCTTATGCAGAGATGATGTGACGTAGAAAAGCCTTTATGAATCAATTTTTAGTTAACAGTAGTAGATAGTGGCAATAAACATTGTAGCGGTAAATAAATCCCCAAAATAAATAGCTTTGTAAGTCTTCGGCATTTGATGCTGACTACATTAGTTTTAATGGAATCATCTAGCTGAAGGTGCTCGGTGACACATCCGCATAAGATCACGAGTGGGAACGCCTTGCTCGACATACCCTGCAATAACTAGATCAGTCTGCTCTCGATACATTTATAACCAATCAAATATATCTTCGAATCTCCTTGCTTCTGTCTTTTGATTACACTTGGTGGGTACTATCCATAGTAGGTGTTACTGGTTAAAGCATAAAAACTTATAATACCTGTGGCATCTTCAGCATCCATGTTTATTATGCACCCCAAAAGCTCTGGGGTGGTGTAAATTTTCAGTCGCGACTGAACTTAGTTGCCTTTTGCAGTCGAAACAAGTAACCTGGACGCGCAGTCTATCAATAATGTCGAACATTGTAATAAATCTTTCTGTAAACAAGTAAATCTTTACACGAAAAATAAAATGTGTCGTGTAAACTGTGGTACGCACCTTAAAATTTGTCCCCCTTATTGCAACATGTCGGTGAAACTGTTGTCGGGACTGACGAATAAATGAAAAACCTAGGTAAGGTTGATCATTCAGTACTCGGTATGACTTTTCACATGGTTGTCAACAGCATTTTGTTGGCTAAAGTCAGAATAAACGTCTGGGAAGCAAATATGCGTGATATTCCAGTTAAAAGCTTCAAAATAATCTGCGGAAATTATGTGAACTGTCGAAAATTTCTCAGTAGCTGATAAGTGCTTAAAAGCATATGATATTTCATAGTTTTAGCCAAGTTATATACACATAGAACATGAGTAGCACTGAGCTATCCATAGTACAGCTTTCGTGCCTATAGGTAACCCTCGTGCTATTGATAGAAGAAGCCAGACAAGAATTGAATAGGTCTTTATTTCGATCTTAGCGCAGTCACAGTGGAGCGTGGGATTATCTGTTCAGACAAACAAAGGCTTTCAACATTCAATATAAGATAATAAGAAATATAACGCTTATACAAAATAAGGAAGTGAATGAATACTTGAACAATACTATTTTGGCATATGCTTGGTTGTTTGGGGTCAACTCTTAACCAACCAACCCATGCTGTTACACAGCTTCTGGCACTGTCGATTCCAAAACCTTTTCACTTTGAAGTTCACAAACCCACAATGAATTGCTTGTCACCTGTATATTAACTGTTTTATCAGATAAACATTGATTCGGACTAATTACCCACCTACTGACACAAATGAAATAAAGTTTGTGATAGACCACCGTTACAAATATGGTGATTCAAAACCGATGTTCTATATTAACTTCGCGTTTAGCTAAGATCTTGCCAGCCATAAAATTTTGGCCAATAAGCGTAGTCGACATTTGCTTTAAACAGGAGGACATACTGAAAGGCATGCCTTTCAGCGGATATTTAGGCAAAAAAGCGACAATTCGGCGGATATTTAGGCGAAAATGCGACAATTCGGCGGATATTTAGGCGAAAAAGCGACAATTCGGCGAATATTTAGGCGATAAGTGGTTAATTTGTCGACAAAAAGGCGGAAAAGGGGAAATTTCGCATTATTTCCCCCGGAGAGGCGAAAAAGGCGACATTCTGGCGCGTTTTCTCCTTTATTTCCCCTTTCGCCACCAAAGCATTTACCCCTTTATTTCCCCTTTTTTCCCTATTATTTCCCCTTTTTGGGTTGTCTGGGCAGTGTATAAGTGGGGAAGAAATATATTTATCTATTGCATGTACGTTTCTTCACTTCTATAACCAAACATAAGTATATGAACTGCTATCAGTAACTTGTTTTCTATAAGCATGTGCGTATTTTCAGTAAAATATTCACCCATCTGTGATAGATTCCTCAACAAAATAATTAAAACGATATTTTCCAGAGTGTTACACAGTATCAACGAACATGAGGTTTACACCAAAAAGACAAAGTACATAATAACAATGCCACGATTATCCGAAGTTTTGCGTTTTTAGGCGCAACACTTATATTCAAAGTATACTAGCCCAGTCAAATTACAAGCCAAAATTGGAGATATATTTGGAAAGATATCGATGTATCGAGAAGCATTTGGTCTAAGCTAGGATCAGTCCAGTAAATCCATTGAGGTCAGTATGATACTGATATTGCCCAGACAACCCAAAAAGGGGAAATAAAGGGGTAAATGCTTTGGTGGCGAAAGGGGAAATAAAGGAGAAAACGCGCCAGAATGTCGCCTTTTTCGCCTGTCCGGGGGAAATAATGCGGAATTTCCCCTTTTTCGCCTTTTTGTCGACAAATTAACCACTTATCGCCTAAATATCCGCCGAATTGTCGCATTTTCGCCTAAATATCCGCCGAATTGTCGCATTTTCGCCTAAATAACCGCTGAATAGTCGCGTTTTCGCCTAAATATCCGCCGAATTTTCGCTTCGATATTGTTCATGATCAATATCAAAGCCTAACAGAACTATTGCTCCCGGGGATTTATTTATCGTGACAATAGCTTATGTTGTTTTCAGTGACGGTGGTGGTTTTCAGACTGACAACGGAAGTATGTAAACAGCTAAGCACCACGCTAGCCTATATGCACGCAATCTACCTCAAACACTGAAAATACGAAACGCCCGCTTTCTCCGGTTCAAGGTTGTGGAGGGGAAAGCCGTGTTTGGAGGTCTGTTACTTTTATTCTGTGTCGTCTCACCTCATTCGTTTATTCGTACCATTTAATCAACTAGTCCACATCAATTTTAAGCTTGAAACATTTGATATCACCGTGTACTATCCTCTAGACAATATTCGCTGATCATAAACTACGAGAATTCCAGAAGGCCCAGAATTTATATCATAATGACATTGCAACACAGACGTCTGGTTGTCTGTGTGCATTTCTGTTTGCCCATGCTTTAATGTCTGTTGTCAATCCTAACCTGTGTTCCAAATGATTTTCTGAATGCTAAACATTATTAAAATAATGCATAGAATTACTCTATATGTTGTCTGGATCACATTTGATTGAAATAATTTGATATCATGTAGTCTCCTTACTCACTGATTATTACTATTTCGCAGCACGCGTGTGAAAGGTTGAAATAAATTCCAATACGCGTCGTATTCAACTTTTTAAACCACCGTTATGCACCTAGATTGCCTGAAGTATTTAATACAAAATTAGATAAGTTATACTCCAGCTGGAGTTTAAGAAAGGTTCAACATATTTATCTCCATAGGTTTGCGATCATAAAGGGCCCCGTTTACTCTTGCTCTCTATCTTTGACCATACGAAAATTACTATTTATTCCGAATTTAGTAATTTTCTGCATAATTCAAATCATGATGTACTTCACCGAACCTCATTGATATAGTCTCAGTTCGGTGGTTCGCCAAATAAAAATAGTCAGTGCGAAGGTCGTGTTTATCCGGTGTCAGCAGATTTTGTGATTCTTTGTGACACGGCAGTCTTCTCTTTGCGACGGATTTTGACAACTGCTACGGTTAAACTTATAGGCCAGGAACTAGATACAATCTGTCTATTTATCTATCCGAAAATAGGGGTTATTAAGACATCCTTTCAGTTTCTTGGTCACTGAATCAGGTGTAGGTATATGCTAAAATACTTGGTAAGTGATTCAAATGTAATGCCTTTCAGGAATAATGCAATTAAGGATGCATTTAATCAAAACCTGACTAGTTAACAAGACTAGTTTCTTGGTGAATATTATACTCTACAGAATCTATATTGATAGTATGACTGGGGCGTTTACAGTAATTTTTTCAGAGGGGATCTCACTTAAGTAATTTGACAATTTTTGGGTGTCAGATTATGCCGCCTCCACACTGGTCAATCAGTAGTGACTATTAATGTATGCCTTATCATTGTTCACTGTAGTCTCACTACATGGAAGAAAAGCAATCATTTCCTCCCAGTTTATCCATGTTCTTTGCTTTCAAAGGTCGAAAATCAAACTATTTCGGAATATACTTGACCTTGTATAGCTGAACACGCATCTAATCGACCCCATAGGTGATGTAAATTGGCAAAGCTAGGCAGGTTTACATATGCTCAGGTTCTAGCATTCAATCCACCAAATTTGATAAGATGCTTACCTATCCGACTAAACTCCTTTTTGCTATTAGACTGTTTGTAACTCATCGTCTTAATCCTTCATATAAGGATATGACTTCCTAATTCTTATTTATTCATAACAAAATTTGTGACACAATAGGGTACCAAAAGGGTTACTATCCTGTCCAAGTATATATTTCAATTTTTTTCAGCAGCAGAACCATTGCTTACAGACCTGGAATCAATTTTATCAGAGGCTTCAATCTCGTCAATACATATTTGAAATGATCAGAAATCCCTTAATTATGTATGGCAGAATGTTCTAAGTGTAATGCCTTAATGATCTAAAATCGTTTATTTGTTCTTAAATTCAATTTAATTTCCAATGTATAAGACAGGCAAAAAACGGAAAAAGGGTTATGTCGGGGAGTCTATTTTGTCTTATTTTATCCGAGACGAAAAATACAAAGCTCCTGCCAAAACCGTGAACCCATGTAATATATCTACATCTCTCCCAGTATCTAAAAGCAACCCACTCGAAAAAACTCCTAGAAAATGCCCTTTTTATAAATGGATTCCAGGTTTGTCAAATTATTTAAGTTTATAGTAATGATAGACACATCATTTACTGTTGATGCTTTCTGTTATGCTGAAATTCCAGGATGTACCTGTTACTTCCTCTCCCATTTCCATTTTGATCATTTCAGAGGAATCCACAAGAATTTTAAAGGAGATATCTATTGCAGCGAGGTATATCTTCATTTCCTTTTATTTATAGTCTTAGGTGACAAAGAATCTTTTGAGAAATGCTTATGGTTTGGGGCTGGTTATTAATGTACTTGAGATAGAGAAGAGTACAAAGATTGGCGATGTAGAAGTAACAGCTTTAGATGCTAATCAGTAAGACTATAGTGAAATATTCATTTGTTCTTGATTTTTGTTTTTAAATGTGTTGATTCTGCAAAATATTGTAGATATTTTAGCTTGACGATTGTTTTTGGTTAGCAAAATTCAGGTAGAATTGTCAGTTAAGTTTTTGCTAGTGAATATGCTGTATTATTACTGAGTTAGTTTGTCAAAATGTTGAGTGGATAAGACTTTCGTAATCGTTCTGAATAAATGAATTCGGGTTTCATTATTTCTTTATACTCCACTAACAATCTTCAAAATCTTGAGTACTCATGTAATTATTTCACGCAAATAGCTTTAAAATAGGTTGATACCGTAAACATAACGTTTCAAAGTGTAAATTGAGCTCTGAACTATGCCAGTGTTTGTAGTTCATTGATCTAGGTCTTTGGGTTTTCATTTTCTGCAAAAATATATAACAGTCGACATTTTCGTCAGTATACTTGTACACATAAAATCAAGTATCAAAGCCTTCCGTAGTCCATTATTTGCTTAAAATTCAGCTAAAACGGATGTTGCATTGAAAAAGATGGACAAGTTGACAGTGCATATATACTTTTGAGAACCTTCCTAAGAGATATAATTCACCTCACATTAATATAACAGGAGGAGCTTGACATAATGTAGAGAGAAGGGATCAGAATGATATTATCAGTGCCGTTCGAAGATGAACGATATAGTTTGGTTCGTTGTACCGGACTTCAGAAAATCTTATTTGGTTCTCGGCTGTCAGTTAACAAAAAAATGCACAATTTGCTAAATTTCTCTAACCAGTAGCCAGTAAGTTAATGAATTAGATTAGTCTTATAATTCAACTAGGCTGAAGCCTTTATCCCACTAGTTACTAATTATAGTACTTCACATAAGTATCATTATCAGTGCGGTATATATATTTCACATCACTGACAACTCACTGTATTCATTTTTTCGACGTATCTTAATTGTTTTATTTTGCGTTCTAAGAGTTCTTCCTGTAAGTTCAAATCAGATTTTCTATAATTCTACCACACTGCATATGTTTTTTGACTGATCACCGAATATCGACAAAGGTGAAATTCTTAATCTGCGCTTCTAAACCTTTATACAGTTAAAAAATATTCCGTTTTAAGTTTATGAGAATAAATGTTTTTGAAATAAAGGACCAGTAGAAGCTACTGGATAAATAGAAGTTTAAATAACATCATGAAGCAATTTTTATTCTCAATTTTCAATCCATTTTACATTGATTCATACCGATTTCTCTGATATTCTTATTTTAAATTGAAGTCATTATATAATAAGGTTTATTAATGCATGCTTATGCTACTATTTCATTATATTTTTCCCACTAATTTATCTTACAGTTGTCCTGGCTCTTTGATGTTCCTTTTCTATGTGCCATCAAAACAGAAGACTTATCTGCATACTGGTGACTTTCGTTATACACCATCAATGTTAACTCATCCAAGCATATTAACAAATTATTTATCGGACGATAGTTCTTCCAAAAAGTTACCAAGAATACATTCAATATTTTTGGATACAACGTAGGAGTCCTGTTTTCTTTATATGTTTTTCTAGTGTATATATTTGTACTGTTAGTACATTTTTCATTCTGAAATAAGCAAAAATCTGTGAGGGATGTGGAAGTAAATCTTATGAAGAAGGAAATCAATATTAATTTAAGATCAATGTAATGTCAACACATTTTCGCTGCGCTACTTGATGACATTCAACGCATTTTAACTTATTTGTGTTTAGTGATATTCGCTCAGTTCATAAATTTTAGTCATTACAACTGATATATAACTGAGTAACTAGAATGTTTTAAAAGGTTCTATTAAGGTCATCATCAATAAAGCTTTTGTGAAGAAGCTGGACCTCTCACTCAATTAGCGGGAAAGGAAAGAAAAAGAGAAAGTAGTCTTGTTCACTATGTTGAAGCTAGAGTTGCGAAATATTAATCTGGTCCACGAACGTACAAAAATCTCTTAAATTATACATTCATATTTTAAATACACTACTTGAGCGCTATCTTATGTATGACGATTCCTGCTAGAATAATTCTCACTATATTAAGATATAGTGGTGTATGTAATCTAACTTTAGATGAAAGGTTTTGTCATAGATCCTTCACATAAACATAATGTGTTAAAGACTTGTGTTCGGTCGTCGCAATTGTTGTGCCGGAAAATAAGCTGATCACTTATACTCAGAACGAGGGACCTCGGCAATTCCTACGATGCGAAAGTAAGAACACAAAGACTGGTTTAAGTGATGATGATCAAAATAGTCTAAAATACACTGGTTCATATATTGATTTTGCACCCATTTTTGATTAATAATTCGAATAAAATCACATATATGAAAAATACTAAGAGTTATAACAAATCACAGACTGATTATAGTTCATGTCAATAGAATACAAGAATATCGCATATTATACAGAATAAAATATTATACGACAAAAGAAAACAAATAATACAGTGAATGATCACCAGATTGAATTAGAATGGATGTCAATGTTGAATAAAACTCACAATGATTAAATCAATAGAAAATTGATTTTTCTTCCCATCATATCAAAGACATGAAAGAAATGACTAGAACCGTTATGGTTACAGTTAGTTTTTCTAATTTATTTGTTTCTACCGGCTTAAATTGATCGTTGGATAATCATATTTCTGGGTAAAGAGCCACAATATACGGTGTGATGACCGAAATTATGAACAGCGTATAGACAATGTTTTCTGGAACATAATTCAGTATTTTCTCAATTTTCATATGGCATTTCTCTGACTGAATTACGATAGCATTAAAGTAGAGTATTAATCAACTTAAGGTTTATTAAGTGTAGAAAACCCGAGGATACAGTACCAGTTTCTAATGCTCCTAAAATGTTTATTTTTTAAATTCATTCTGACTGTAATTCATTTTTCGTTAAATAAGTTTTATAGGATGTTACATTTAAAAATACTGATATATTTTCCAATCAAAATTATTTGTTTTCTCTACCTAAAAATGATTAGTTGATTTAAAATTAATCTTATGTTATTGTTGTTTTTACATTGTTTCTTGTTTCCCATGTCCAGATGTCACTTTTGACAAGATAGAAATTTTTCATGTATTCATTTTATGAATGATCTACCAATTTTTAGATATTGTTCATCTCAGTATGACTTTCCTACTCAACTGGATGTTATTCATGGAGCACTGGAAGTTACACGTGATTATCTGATAAAAGATCCTACTATTTTAGTTATTTGTGGAATGTACTCAATAGGCAAGGAACGATTTACACTTGGTAGGTATTACTTATAACAGTACGGCTTCAATTTTTTTTATTACCATTATACATAAGCAATAGTTTCCACTAATTCTGAATATGGTACCCGATCAAGTTTCCGAACTATTGAACAGACTCTATCATTTTCATATAAAATTTCTTTTGTCTGCTGAGGTTATTACAAGTTAATCTGTTTCATTCATCATTAAATGATGTCGTAATTCTATAGTATTGACATGAATAACCGGTATATATGCACAAAAAATTGCGTTTTGTATATTTCTCTAACGTCTATGAATAAATATGTATTTGTCATTCAACACATTCGTCAAGTTGTGTATTCTCTTATACTGTCTCTGATAAGATCAAACAATCAAATGCTTTCGTACAGTTTTTTCTTTCTACATTTTAAGTAGGTCGATTGCAGTCATTGTAATCAAACAATTTTTTTGATTTATTCAGTAAATTCGCTTGTTAGCTGAAATAGTTGTATTAATTGTTTCTGGAAATACATGTTTTCCCATCACAATTCTTTTCACTCTTTATCTTCTTATAAATCTTGGATTTGGTGCCATTCTTATCATTTCATGTTATGATCTTTGTTTTTCTAACTTCATTTCTTATGTTTTTAGTATCCTTAGTGTGTAGTTAGCAGTGCAATCTAAATTAGTCGTTTATTCATATTCGGGAGTCGTCAGTTAGATATGCCTGCATCTCAATGTTCATGTTTGCACTGGGATTCGAACACAATACTTTGCGCTTCAAATGCTAGCGTGTTGTCTACAAAGCTGTTGATTCCAGACAACTACTAACTTGTTCAACAAATGTGAAGGTATTAGTAAAGATTTGTGATATCTCTTTATTGATATTCAAGAATAAGAATCCTAGTTATCGTATGGAATCAGTAGCTCAATAGATAACTCATCGAAGTTTGAAGCAAAAGGTTTTGGGTTCAGGTTTCAGTGTGGACATCATCATTAAGATGAAGGTAAATTCAGACGAATCTCAAAGAAGGCGAAATACACAGTCTGGATCCCACTGCTAACCATATTACCAAATATAATAAAAATTTGCGACTAAAGGGCAATATCGAAAAGCTGCTCAGGATGTACATATATTATTATTGACTGTTCAGTAGCATTTCTCATATTTAGATTTCTACTACTTTCTATATTGTTTCCCACCCTACGCTCTTCATCTTGTTTATCTCCTATCTGTTTTACTGATTCAGGTTTTATTAAGTATATATACCTTTCCTAAGTCCTATGTTGTTAACTTACTGACTGTTCTCAACTAAGGGGAGTTATTCATACAGATAATAGATAATGGATTAAATTTTTCATAGCGTTAGTAAATAACTAGTCTAAAGAAGTAGATCAGGCTTACCTAAATTGATTGGTAAAGGAAAATGAGGAAACCACGAATAAAGATTTCAAAATAGATCTCAAGATACTGGAATATCAAGTAAAATATTATACAACTGACAATTAGGAATTAGCATTACGAAGAATGTGCAACATATACAGAAATATCAATTTTAATGCAAAATAGTTTTTAACCATTCGATAATCATAGATTTATTAAAGTGCAGTAAACTTTAGCTTGTGTGATCGATCTTTGATTACTTTAAATTATTTATGAAGTAGAAGTCATTGTATCATATCCACTTCCATGTAAGATAGGATAAACAATTGGATGGTATGAAATCTTCCTAATTTTCAGTTAAAAAAGGACAACAATCCAAATTTACCATGTAAAACTAAAGGGATATATATATATATATATATATATATATATATATATATTCATGTTTTAATGTTGTGATTTAGTTGATTTACGTTTGTTTTATAAATAAAGACAATACTACTCTATCGAATTTTGCAGACAGACATAATCAATGTACAGTTAAACTCAGGTTTGAATTAAACTTTCTTATATACACTGAAATTATCAGTCTTAATCATGTACTTAGAAAAACAGTATGTTGTTTATAAACTACTTATAAGTAGGCAGTTGTGAAATTGATGAAATTCATGCCTTAATTCTATTGAGTAGCTATGGAATTATTCAGTACGAAAAGTTATGGTTATTTGGTTTACAATTCAAGTAATTCTAAAAAAATGTTTGATAGTAAGTGAATTGTTTGCATATATTCAATTAATGCAATTAGGAATATATGAGCCTAACTCTGCCCGAGAAAATCAACATCATCCTGAATTCATACGACGGACTACACTGCAAAATGGTGCATGGAGGACAGCTGACATGCATTTTAAGTGAGGATTTGAGTCAGACAAGGCTACTTACCCTCCTACTTCCTTTTTCTTGTGATGGTTGGTTGGATTATGAAGATTTCCACATCTGAAGGGAATCACGGAATAAAATGGACAGGTTAGATGCAACTAGACGACTTGGATTTCGCAGATGACTTGGCCCTTCTATCTCATACACACCAACAAATGCAGATAAAAACAAACAGTGTAGCATCAGTATATGCACCAGTAAGCCTTAAAATACACAAGGAAAAAAGCTAGAATCTCAAATACGACACGGAGAACAACCAATCACACTTGATGGCGAAACTAGAAGAGGTGGAAAGTTTCACGTATCCGGGCAGCATCATCGATGAACGTGGAGGATATGATGCAGAGGTAAGGGTGAGGATTGGCAAAGCAAGGACAGAATTCTTATAGTTGAAGAAACAATGGAACTCAACACAACTGCCAGTCAACATCAAAGTCACAATCTTCAGGACAAACGTCAAGATTGTACGAAGACGAAACTACGAGAACTGCTACAACCATTATCAAAAAAGTACAAATATTTATCAACAATTGTCTGCACAAGATACTCAATGTGCGTTGACCGGATACAATCAGCAACAACCTACTGTGGGAAAGAACAAACCAGCTTTGTACTGAAGAGTATGTTAGGAAAATATGTTGGAAGTGGGTAGGATATACATTGCGGAACAGATGTTTAATCATTAGAAAACTGTAATTTAAACCATTATTATTACCATGGGGTAATGATTAAAAGAATAGTTATTGTTGTTGTATAAGCCTTCTTCGAAAACGTTTTCAGTATAGTCAACTTTCTGCTTAATCGTTAGTTTTTTTTTACATGAAAAAGTTATTTTCATGGTATTTGTTAATTATGTAGTACTGGCTGGTTCTTTTAATAAATAATATACACCATGTTATATCCTAGTGAAGATTAAATCATTAGTAACTTCCGATAACTATCAATGGAAGCTGGTATTGGTATTCCGGACTCAAGTGGACGGGCTAGGTGGACAAAGGACCAATAAGGACACCAGGCTGCTCATACCAGTCGAAGGTCATTATATTAGCACAGTACTAAGATTGAATAAGTCATCCTTCGATTGACGAATAAATCACGTGATAACTAACCTGCCTTAAAGGCACAACACACAGTTGTTCTACTGAAAATATCTGTTTTTTGTCAGTTTTTCGTGTAAATTATCTTTCAATGTTTGTTATTCACGTTACTTTTTATGGAACATGACAACAAAGGAAAAAGTGTAAAATGTGTTATTGAAGACATCGTTCTTACTGAACATTGGATATCAGCCACCAAAGTTGTATAAACTAGATTAATTAAAACGTTATCACCAATATAGCTTGTATTTCATGGTTGTTACACTTGATTTGATTGTCATTGCGATACCCCAAAACACTAATTTAATACAAAGTTGCCAAACATTCATTTGATAGAACTCGGTTTCACAAGTGTAAAGTAGAAATTCTCTCACCGTTGTATACTGAACCTTTTTTGTAGCCAAACTAACGTCTTAATGTCTCTAAAGAGGATTTAACGAAGACCACTTTAAAACTAACCTTAAACTGTTCAACCAAACTAATTTATTGGTTGTGCCAAGTTCAATGTATTAGAAAAAAATTCAATCTTGAAATTCATGTATTAATTTAGGGTGATTTTCACTGATTAGCTTTCGCTATTCATTAATCGTATGAATATTGTTTATTTGATTTCCAATCAATTTTCATTGAATTCATCAATTTACTATGATTTTTTATTCAAATGATAGTTCGATAAATTTTTTAACAAATTGTCACTGAACGTAATCTGTCTGTAATTGAATAAACTCGTGTGTGAATTAATCTTCTTGAATCTCTATCAAATAAATCTTCCTTATAAGATTTGTTTTTCGGAGTAATCTGGGTCAATTGAAAAAGGAGCTGTTCTATCGTAGTATCAAAGTTTCTTTAGAGTTATGTTTCCTATCACAAATATAGTATAATTATAGAACGCTTTATTCAAACACGTAGTCCTTTTCACTTCAAAATTTTACAATGAAATTTATATGTATTAAAATCTAAGTTTATGAGAAAATTTTATATACATAGTTCCACATAACAGATTAAACATTGAGAATCAAAATGTTCGTGCAATATTGTGAACTGGCTCATGTTAGAAATGAAAACTCAGTAATCTAAAGGTTAAGTTCTACTCAGAAAACCTGAAGGTCTTGGGTCCTGTCGTAGGGTTGTAGTTGCACATTGCTGAGCAGTCTTATGCGAAGTTGGCCTGGTTTTTTGGTTTTTAATGGTTCACGTTACAATGTTTGTAATATATCAAGTGTTAATGTTCTTTCGAATTATTTGATTAAATATTTTCCTATAGCCCGTCAAATACCACGTGACAAAAATTGCCAATCAGAATATCGACTTCTATGATCTTGTCATTGTGCCAAACAATAATGCGTTAACTAGTACTAGCAACCTTGAGTCAACTCTTGGTCATTATCGGTCCTCTGTATAGTAACTTCTCGCGTAGCTCAACAAGTTCAGTGAAGAACACAAATATTAACCTCCGTTGTGTGAATCGTATATTTCAGATATACTTGGTTTATCTACAAGCAGACCAGACCACATAACACGATAAAATGAAGAATAATAATTATATAAGATCGAGCTAAAAGTGGCTGTTGGTGTGTGATACTGTAACGGATAAATTGGGAATAAGTTAAGATTGGT